AAGATGGAATCTGGAGTTTGAGGAGGCAAAAGTAACTATAATTTATGAGGCAAAATATCAGCAAGGTGGGAGCTATGCAGGGAGAGATCTGGACACCTACAGAGTGTCTCCCCAGCTGGTGGCCAAGGACTTCTCTGTGTATATGTGGAGGAAGACACCTGAGTCTGGGGAAAGAACTACTGCAGAAGGGTGAGCAGAAATTCCCAGAGCTCACCCATGGCTTGGAACAGTTTATATTCCCACCAGCCAAAGTGGAAAGATCTCATAATGCACAGGGCTTTGGTTAGATCTTAAAAAGGTATTGTTTTACTAGTGGAGCTAAATCATCCCTAGACTAAAGGCTGCTCTAGACCAGTCCTTTCAAAGGGTCAATCTGATTCCATGTAACTTAGCTATATACCAAAAAAAAATTTTAATCTACCATTATTTAAAGAGATATAACAAAACCCAGAAACCAACAACATAAAATTCATAATATCCAACAGCCAGTTAAAAAAAAAAACTACTAGGCATAAAGAGAAGCTGTAAGATATGCCTCAAAACCAAGACAAAAATTAACCAACAGAAAAGAGACCCAGAAATGACTGATTATGGGATCAGAAGACAAAGTTGTTAAAACACCTGCTTTAAGCATGTTCTAGATGTTCAAGAGGGTAGAAGAGAATATAATCATCATGAGGAGAGAAATGGAAATAAAAAGATCCAAATGGAGCTTCTAGAGATGAAAAATACAGTATCTGAAATGAAAAATATAATGGCTAGGATTAACAGCAGAGTAGGCACTGCAGGAGGAAAAAAATTAATGTTAGAAGACATAGTAATAAATGTTATCCAAAAGGAAACAGAAAGAGAAAACAAAAACTAAAGAATTGAACATGGCACCAGTGGCTTGTGGGGCAGCATCAGGCATCTAACATAGGTATAACTGTAGTCCCAGAAGGAGGGCTGAGGGAGAAGAGAAAAAATATTTGGAGAAATAGCAGCTGAAAAATGTCCCAATTTAATATAAACTGTAAGTCCACAGATTCAAAAATCTCAACAAACCCTAACCAGATTAAGCATAAGGAAAATCAGTTATATCATAATCAACTTGCTGAAAGGCAGTGAAAAGAGAATAATAAAAGCAGTCAGAAAACACAAGACATTATGTTCAAAAGAATAATGATCAATACTAGATTTACAGTCAGAAACTAAACAAGCAGAAACAGGAGAGATATCTTTAAAGTACTGAAAGAATAATGGTCAATTGAGAAATTCTGATCTAGAGAAGTACCTCCTAAACTGAAGGCAAAAGCTTAGAAAATTCCTCACCAGAAAATCTGTACTGAGAAATGTTAAAGGAAATTTTTTAGGGAGAAGGCAAATGATACAGATAGAAATCTGGAATTATACAAAAGGAATAAAAGCAAAGAAATGGCATATATTTGGGTAAATATAAAAGATACTGTTCTGAACGTTTGTCTCCTGAAAGTTCCTATGTCAAAACCCTAACCCTGCATGAGGTGGGGCCTTTGGGAGGCAATGAGGTCGTGACAGCAGAGACCCCAGAGAGATCTCTCCTCCCATCCTCCATGTGAGATTACCTCGAAAAGATGGCCACCCACCATCTACTCTACTGGCACTTTGAACTTGGACTTCCCAGCCTCCAGAACCCTAATAAATAAATTTCTGTTGCTTGTAAGCTACTTAGTCTCAGGTATTTTGTTAGAATAGCCTGAACAGACTAAGACACTATATTGTGAGATTTACAGCATATGATTAAGTAAAATGTATAGCAAACAGCAGAAAGTATGGGGAGGCAAAATGAAAGCACACTATTGTAAAGGTTCTTGCATTTGCATGAAATGCTATTTGAAGACGGGCTGTGAGAATTTAAAGATGCATACAGTAAACCACAAGAAGAATGTAATAGATACAGCTACCAAGGCAACAGCAGAATGGAATGAATAAAATGGAATCATTCTTAAAAAATCCAAAAGAAGTCATGAAAAGAAGAGAAAAGGAACAAAAACAGATGGGACAGATAGGGAAAAAATGACAATATACGAGTTGTAAACTTAACCAGATGAATAGTTACATTAAATGTAAATGGTTTAAGCATCTCAATTAAGACAGATACTGGCTGACCCAATTATATGCTATCTATAAGAAACCCATTTTAAATATAAAGACACAAACAGGTGTAAAGTAAAAAGATGGAAAAAGAAATATCACGCAGACTTTAATCAAAAGAAAGCAGGAATGGCTATATTTGTATCAAAGTAGGCCTCAGGGCAGAAATGAAGAAAGACATATCATAATGTGAAAGAGTCAATTCTTCAAGAGGACAAAACAGTATTAAGTGTATCTAAACCTAATATCTGAGCTTCAAAATACATGAAACAAAAAAATGACTGAAATGAAAGGAGAAGTAATTACAGTTGGAGAAGACAGCACTCCTCTCTATACCAGTGGAACTCAGTGAGGATCCAGAAAACCCAAGCAGCACGCTCAGCCAGTGGGGCCTGATGGACACTTACAGACACTGAAGACACTCCCCCAGACAGCAGCAGAACAGTCCCTCTTTGCAGGCACACATTAAACATTCATCACAGCAGACTGTATTCTGAACAATAAATCAAGGCTCCAAACATTTAAGTGGACTGAAATTACACAAAGCAAGTTCTCTGACCACAACATAATTAAACTAGGTACACAGTTAAAAGATTACTTGGAAATAACAAATAACACGCTCCTAAGTAACTACGGGTCAAAAAAGAAATTACAAGGAAACCGGAAAATATTTTTAACTAAATGCAAGTGAATATATTTAAAACTTGTGGGACACAGCTAAACAAAACAAAATTTAAGAAAAGGATTCAAGAACAAATTCATCCTAGAGCATATTTTAGCTTAACTGAATCTATCTGGTAATAATTAAATATGGGTGGTCATCATTCATTATTACAAAAAAAGGGCTTAATTCACTGCTATTTATCAATACTCTCCTTAAAAGCAAAGAACTCTGCTGGCCACGCAAAAAATGAAAACACAGTCCTTTACCTGTCATAAAACATTAAGGCCTGTATCTGAAATCCAGAGCCAAGCTAGAGGTGATACAGGGCTGTGTAAGTGCAGATACACAGTCCCCTCTGGGATGGGATGACCCGGGAGGCAGTGTAAAAGTGGAAGCATGTGGCTTGGGCCCAGAGGGCTGAAGCTGGAGAGAGCAGTGAGAGGGCAAATTGGGCTGTGGGCAGAGGGCCAGTGCAATGTGCAGGCGAGGACACTTGGGACTCGACTGCAAGAGCCTGGAGTGACCCTTGAACTGGAGAGCCAGAACCTGGGTTCAAGTCTTGGATCTGCTGTTGATTAACAGTGTGACCACAGTCCAATTGCTCCAACTCTTTGAGGCTCAGTTTGTCCTCTGTGAGGTATATTAAAATCCTCCCTACATGTCACTCAGAGCTGCTATGGGAGCAAGTGTCCCCTACATGCAGGAGAGCACTACATTAACTTCAAGGCAGTGCTGAGGTGGCAGGTGGCCAAGGGACCCTGTGGCTGGAGGAAGATGAATGACAGTCTAGGGATGTGAGCGCTGGATGGGAAGTGACAGGATGTAGGATCAGGCTACTGTATCAGTTCAGACAAGGCGTAACAAGGGCCGAAACTGGCAAGGCTGTGATGGAGGCACGAGGGAGACGGGCAGCCAAGGAGCTCTGGGGAGATGGGCCTGGTGACTGACAGAATGGCATGGAAAGCAGGGAGGAGTAAGATGGGACCTGACCTAAAAACAGCTGACATGTGGGAAAATTTGACCCCAAACAGGGAAGTTAGAAAATAGGGCTTATTTTGGTGAGAAGGTATAATGCTTCTAAACAAACTTTCACCCATACAATAAGGAACAGTTGGCTTTGGGAGGAAAAATACCTCATGTAATAAAATATTTAATCCTGGAAACTATGCATCTATTCTAAAAATGTCCAGCAAATAACTTCTATATATAATTATACAAATGCCATTTAGTAAAACACTGTTACATGCACATATAATTTCTAACATGTGTAAATTTTCATGTGTTTTGTGATTTTATTTGAAGGCTGCAGTAATGCAGAAATTCATGAATGAGGACACCATGGAAGGCTACTAATGTGCTACTGTAAATGTACCAGAACTTACCATCAAATAAACCTTTGTGCTGAGCTAGCAGAGCCAAAGCAGGTAAAAAGTGAAAAAGACAACCAAGGTGGTAAGAAAAGAAGAATTGTCACTGAGTTCTCTGCTTTAAAAAAACATTTTAAAAAGTGCAACCAATCAAGAAAGCCTAGTTACCTGAGTTCACCAAACACAAAAACCTAACAGAAAACACAATTTGTGAACAAAGTATAATTGTATGGGTTGTGAATTGTGCATGGAATATGCTGCTGACTGGTGCCTCAGAATTCACTACCTATGGTGATCAGGCTGAAAAATAAGACTTCGTTTCACTCTAAGAGAATCAATGTCACATACTGGCTCATTATGTGACAGACAGTATGATCACTTCTCAAAATGATGACTAAAAATTACGTCTGAATAATACTCATTGAAATTAGCTTAGGTTTGAAATTCAAACGATTTCCAAATGCAGGATACCACCCAAAATGAAGATGGATTAGCTCTGATTAACTTATTCCAGTGAACTCCATGGGTGAAGGTTTGTTGTTTTATGAGAAGGAAAAGCTTTTCCAAGCTTATCTAATAGACATTTGGAACAGTATCTATTACCCACCCATTTATAAATTACTTCTACACCAGTTGCAAGAGCTGTTAAAGATCTGCCACTACAGATTTTTGTTAATATACATTTTTTCCCAGAATCAGTTTGTTTAGGAAGAGCACATGTAGAAAGAAATCCTAACCAGCATCCTGGGATAACTTGTTCAGCTTCTTTGCTGTAACATGTAAAAACAAACCGCAAAAGGCAGTAAAAAAAGGGAGGGAGGAGAAGGAAACATCTGGATAGGCTCCAGAGAACTCACCCGTGCAAAGTCAAACGCATATCTGTAAATAAGTTTAAAGTTTGTAGAATCATTTAATAATGATCTTAAGTAATCCAAAGTATTTCTGAGTTTTTCTGTTGTATCACATCTAGAAAAACAGAATAAAGGCAAATTATAATCTGCGATTTTCTTAGTTGGGGCAGTAATATAAAACACCATACCAGAAGACAGAATAAAAACCTGGGAGTCGGAACACATCCCTGCTGGCTTATTTTTTCCTACGCTTATTTAAAAAAAATTTTAATGTACAGAAAAGTTAAAAGAATAGTAAATAAACACCCATGTACCCATCCCCTTCCTTCATGATGAACTTGTCACATTTTTGTTATCTCTCACATACATGCACTTTTTTGCTGTACCATTTGAAAGTTGCCAGTAAATAAAGTAACTTTACTCCTAAACATTTCAATACTATCATCACTCTTAACAGTCTATCAGTGTTAACTTTCTCAGCTAATAAACAACCCACAATGCAAATTTCCCAACTGTTTCCTCAATTTTATGTATAGATGTTTTTTTTCTGATCCAGATTCCAATCAAGGTTCATACATTGCTTTTAGTTGTCATAGCTCCTTAGTCTCTAGAAGATTGCCATGGCTTTTTTGTCTTTTGGACAATGTCATTTTTGAACCAATCAGACTAGCTGTTTTGCAGAATCTCAATCTGTCAGATAATCTCCCTATGATTCTAAACACCAGCAGTAAGGACACTACACGTGATGTCCTCAGTGCACCCTGTGAGGAGGTTCAGAACCCCAGTCTATCCATTCGCTGGTGATTATTAAGGTGACTCACTTGATTATGGTAGTGTCCATCAGATTCTCCAGTGAAAGATACTTCTGCCTCCTCTGAAACAGTATGTAATTTGTGGGACCATATCTTGACACTGAACTTGGTTCCTCAACAACCTTTCACCCCGGGGCTTTAGCATCCATTGATGACTGCCTGCATTGCTTTTACATTTGGAGATGGAAAATTGTGATTTTTCCAGCTCTATCATGCTTTTATACTTACTAGCTAGAATTCTTCTATAAAGCACAGTTCCACTCACTACCTTATTTTCTGGACTTAAGGACCTTTGTTTTTTATTCAGTGTTATAATCTGTTACAGTCTTTCTTCTTTTTGATGCACAAATTGTCCTCATTTGGGCAGTGGCCTAGTAAGGCTGGCTCCAGTGTCCTTCTGACATGTCCCCATCATCTTTGAGCACATCCTTACTTCTGGGAGATATTCTAGCTCATCTTGTACTTTCTCTGTCCTAGACTTGAAATCAACTATTTCTCCAGGGAGCCTTGGTGATGATAACCTATTTTTACAGGTACAAGACACACTGTTTATTTTTCTTAAGCAAGTAATCTAATCTATTTTTGCAATCTGACTTTGTTTGTAATATCTAGCCCTTAAAAACAAGAACCAAGAGTCACCACTTTCACTGGTTATATTAAAGCTTTTCAATGGTGGATGTATTTCCTTATATTTCTTGTTAGATCTTTTACCTATTACTAAGTATAGATAACATGTATTATTAATGTAAATATATTACAAACTTTATAAACTAAAATATGGTTCATAACAGAATATTGATCTATTTTTAGCAATTTGTGAAAGCTTTTTTTGTAGCTAACTACAAAAAAAACAAATCCCTGTGATCTATTGAGATAAAATATCTGTAAGTCAAAAATTAGTAAATGTTTCATTTCTATGGGTCTATAACAACTCAGAATATCATTTTTCCTGATGTTTGAAAACTATAAAAGATTATAATTAGACTATTTTAGAAGTCATTTAGAAGTCCCTTAAGCTTCTTTAAGGGACTCACAGGTAAGATGAGAGCTAAGCAGAAACTAGATGTTTTTGGAGGTGAGGGCTTTCCAGATAAAAGGAACATGTGCAAAGGTGGCAGAAGGGAGCATGACAAGTCCAAAAAAAGAACACTGTGACTAAACTGGACAGAGTAAGAGGGGAAGTGGTATGAAAGAGGCTAGAAGGAAGGTGGGGCCAGGCCATAAAGGGTTTTTGTGAGTCACAGTGGGTTTTTTTTTAAACCCTAGAAAGAAAAGGAAGCCACCTACTCCCATGGGAGAGACCATGACCAGGGTTGCATCTTGAAATGTTCATTCTGGATCTCTGGGAGGAAGGACTGTGGAAGGGGAAAAAAAGAGACACTGATGCCTAGTTGGAGATCCAGGGCCAGAATCCAAATGACGGGTGATGGAGGCAAAACAACACAGAAGAAAGCAATAAATGAGAGTCTGTGCAGCAGGAGCAGAGCAGGGCTTGCTCTGAATTGTGCATTCTAGTGTCTGGCTTGATGTTTTTGCCATGTGTATATATAGTAATATTTTATAAACAATAAAAGGGGTGCAGGTCAAAGAGGAGGGAAACCAGGTAACCCTAAAACAGACACAGCCAATGTCCCTGATCTTCAAGGTTAAAGATCAAAGACCCAAGAAACTGGCCAGTGGTTTAGTTTAGATCTGCCCAAGGAGAGGAAGAAGAGCAGCTGTTTGTTTGTTGGCAGATTCAAGGGTAGGAACCACTCATTTAGGCAACCACTATGCAGCTAAAAGAAAATGGAGAGCAGGGGTCTTTGGATAGAGCTCAAGGCGAAACGTGAGGGTTCAACAGCATGCTTAGGAGTGAGTCAGCCACCCTGGCAAAAGAAGTCCCTGTGTTTGAAAGACGCTCAAATATCTTGTCTGGAGTATAAAAAGCATAATATGCTCAAAGTAAAAATTTCACTTCGTGTACCTATTAAGGATGATGACATAGGTTAGAGCTTATATTGTCAATCAAGGGTTTGAACTCCTTGAAAAGGGTCCTTGTCCCACAGAGCCTCTGGACTAACCACCAGGCCACTGAGTCATCCTGTCTAAACCACAGGTTGCCATCTAGCGGTCACTCAGCAAGATCATCTGAGAGGGACTCCATTCCAACAGGGTCTGTGACAGAAACAGGCTTGGATATTTAAGCAACAAGTCTGGGACTTTTCAGAACGGAGCCACATCTTCAACCCTGATCCTTCTGTTTTTCTGTGCATAATACAGCATACAGAAGTCCTAGAGTGACAGCACCACACCATTAGAGAGCATCGGTTCCCAAAACAAAATATACACATACTGTGGGGCTGTTTCTTTTTTTTTTTTTTTTAATAAAGTTACTATTTTTTAAAGAATTTATTAAGGACATTCTTAAGTGAAATTGGTATTAAAAAAATGTTTAAGTGTGTAATGGTGAAAAGCTCCAGGATAGCCTGTTGCCACTACTATATGAGCAATTTTACCTCCCCTGAGCTTTCTGACCTAGTTTTCCTGTAGCAAATCACTATTTTGAAATTCTGAAATTTGTCTCTTGCATTCTTATAAAATGATATTGTTTACCCTGGAATTTCAAAACAATGGTTTTTTAAATTTTGGTATCATTAAAATACAATCACATGAGCAACACTGTGGTTACTAGATTCCCCCCATTATCAAGTCCCTACCACATACCCAATACAGTCACTGTCCATCAGCATAGTAAGATGCTATAGAGTCCCTACTTGTCTTCTCTGTGCTATACTGCCTTCCCTTTGCCCCCCTTCCCTCACATTATGTGTGCTAATCATAATGTGTGGGGCTGTTTCTTATCTGAGTTTTGCTCCTGTAGATTCAGAAGTAACAGAAATCAGGACAATAATACTCAAAAGTTATAAAATCAAAGGCAGTTCTCCCCCATTATCTGGGGAAAGGTCTTCACCTGTTCACTTGGCCCAGAGGTATTTTTCCAGCCCCTCATCAGTTCTATACCAAGTTAGGTATAACTTTACACATTTTTGTTTTGTTCAGTTTAAACATCCCTATAAGCTTAATTCATCAGAGGTAACCTTAAACCCATGTTTGAATATGGCAATACATAAAAAAAAATAGTCAAAACAAGAGCTGTGCCTTCTCTGGCTGAGAATGATCTAAGGAGTTTGGGAATGGACATTTCCTACCAGCAATGGTCACTTCTTCAATACTCTCACAGAACACTGGCCCTGGAGAGGCCAGGCACTGCACAACAACTCTAGACAGCATCAGGAGCCTGATTACTGGGAGCCCGGGTGTAAGTTACATTTCATTTTGCCTTCCTGGGTTTAAAGAAGCTATCACAGACACATAAGCAATGACAGAATATTCAAAACTCTGATTCTGAAACCTGTGAACTTTCTATTGCTAGCACACTCCTACAGTACAGAAAGAATTTTTTTAAAATATCATTTTAGTCAAATACACTAATATATATGTATATAGTGTATGTGTATAAACACACACATATACACACACATACAAAGGTGTTGTCATATACACTTTAATTCCAGTTTGAGTTCAAAACATTTCACTGGACAGCTTTAATAAAACCAAAAAGGGGAAAGAAAGAAAAGGCAATACAAAAATAGAAGTCAAACATATAATTCAGAAGATAGGCTAATTTCCATCTTCAGAGCACATATAAATGGCTAGTCTCCGAGTTTTCTTATTTACTGGGTACACATACCCTACAAACACAGTATGTATTTAGTTAGTTCAAGTAACACGAAGGAAAGTGCCCTGACTACCTTTGGACCTTTGGCCTGAATATCATTTCCAGGCCCCTTCCCCAAATGGACTTGATTGTTCCTGGATTTTGTTTCCCCAGGACACAGAACACCGAGTGTGGCACATCACTGCCTTTCAAATACTGCTGAACAAATGATGAATCCAAGGAGGCTGGAGGGACAGGGGACAAAGGTTCTTAAATTTTGAAATAAGACTGTTTTAACTACAAAGAACCATAAAAGTTATTCTGAGTAGTTATCTCCACCTCACTGATGAGGAAATCAATCTCAGAGTTTCCTATCACAGAAAGAAAGCAATTTCATCAATGCCTTTCCTATGCATCGGGCTTGTCACTACCCTGAGATGCAAGGCCCACATGGTAGCATCTGCAGTAAGCCGCCTGCCACCACCCGTGTGTCCCCAACTGGCACGCAGAGTTCCTAACGAGGAACCCAAGGAGCCCCTGTCACTACCCCCGCTCATGAACACAAACACAGACCCCTTCCCTACAGGACACTGTGGATTTCACTTCCTAGGGGGTGTGGCCCTCCCAGCACGCGGACGAAGGTGTGGTATCATGTAATTCCTTTTGTACAGGCAAAAGTAAAAAAGAATCTAGAACTATACAAAAATGGATATTAAACCCTCTTAAGACAAATGAAAATGTGCATGAAAAAACATTAAATGGTGCCTCCCCTGAAGCCATGAAATAAAACGTTGATATGGCTGTGCTTTTACAAGAAAAAAAAGAGCAGTCATTACAAGCTCTGGATGGAATGCAACAGGGAAGGCAGCAAGGAAAACAGTGGAGTTAATATTAGTTGACTTTAAATCATAAGATGTTCTCCAACACGACAAACACAATTCTTAAAGAGATTCCAGAGGATTCAACCCTAGAATTCTAAAACATGTTAAGAAGAAAATGTATTTGTAAAGGGGTGACTTGGTTTTTACCTAAAACTCATTTGCCATCAGACACTAATTGTTAGAAGAATGTGACTTTAACAATCAGAAGTCTTAAGTTTTCTTCCCATTTCTGGCACTTACTTTTACAAATCACATCTAAGTGATTTGTAACATGCAAGTAAATGTAAATAAATCACACTTATCCCATCTGAGCCTCAGTTTCCTCATTTGTGAAATGTGCAGGATAAAGCCTGATCTGGCTTCCTCAGAAGGTAGCCACAAGGCTCAAACAGGAGAACAGTGAAAGGCTTAATGAACTACTAAAAGCACGATGTAAATAAAGTATTAATATCAACAACAAATGGGACAGTAATTATAAAAGCTGACAAATTCCGATTTTCACTCCCAATTTTGATCCAGTAAAAACTGAAGTCTATTATTCCTAGTTAAAGTGAAAAGAAAAACCAGTATCATTCCAAGTACTTGAAAGTTACTATGTTATGAGTCTGCACTTCATCTTCCAATACCATTTAAATGCTCAGTCATCCACCTCAGCTGAATCCTTCAATGCATTATACAGAATTACAATTTGTTTTTTTGAATGAAATTCTTAGCAAACAGACATAAACATACAAGTACAAAGTGAACAAGTAAAACCACTAATTTTCTTCTAAGTCTGGGCCAGGTACCACAAACAATATATTATTATTTTTCTGAATCATTAGAGTAATAAAGTTCCAATTTTGCCCAATGCTAAAGTCAGAATATACAAATAGAAAATATACAAATATTTTCACCTGTAAGTTATACTTCACTCAATTTTTTTTAGTTTGGTTTTTAAGATCTCAACCTGGGCTGTTATAAAACTGTAGCTACAAGACACATGGCTCTGATATTTGAAATTCATCTAGTGCAAATTGAGATGTGTCATAAATATAAAATATACACCATATTTGAAGATTTAATATAAAAAAAAGAATGTGAACTAGCTCATTGATTTAAAATATTGGCTACACATTAGAAAGATAATATTTTGGATATTTTGGGCTAAAAATACACATTAAAATTATTTTTACCTCTTTCTTTTCATGCTTTTTAATGTGGCTATTAGAAAATTCTAGATTACATATGTGGCTCACATATATGAAAAAAGGCTGGCCTATTTCTATTGGGCAGAGCTGCTCTTGTAGAATACTAAAATAAAAAAATGTACGTTACATAAAAACTTAAATAGCCCTCTTTGTCATATAAAAATGAGGTTTGGTCTTCACACACTGGGCAGCAGGTGAAAGTTTTGCCCGAATCACCTGGCTTTCCTCCAGTCACCCACCCCAGGCTCACTGAGATCCCAGGGAGGAGACAGCCAGCCGCCAGAGCTGGACACCCCCAGTACAGCCTCAAGACTTACTGTAGAGAAGTCATTCCTTTTAACCATTCCTGTAGAGTAAAATAACCCATGTTTTGTGCATCCAATTTCCAAGCTAGGACAAGCATAACTACCTGTTAAAAAAAAAAAATCAAATCAGAACGACAGATCTCAGCAATTAAATACATTAACACCTTGCCAAATGCTTCTGCTCCTGGTAGTTTAGTCACTGAAATGTGAACAGGGTGGCTTCAAAAATTAGTTCTAACTTGGCAAACATCAAAGATTGATAATTCAGTCTGCTGACAAGATTTTGGAGAAACATGAATGGTTATGATGCATGATGGGGGAAGTATAAAGTGATGAACTTCTTTAAAGGGCAAGTTTGCAATATGTATCAAAATTAAAACCAGTTATTGACTCAGCAATTCCATCTATGGAAAGTTATAGTCATACCTGCATATGTACACAAATATGCATATTAAATATTTACTGCAATACTATTTGAGTAGCAGAAGATTGAAAACAACCAAACGTCATTAATAAGGGACTAGTTAAATACTTCTTTGCTGAATACATTCCATACAAAAGTATACTATGTCACCATTAAGATAAATGAAGTACAAACAGGGAACAATCTCCAAGATTTATTAAGTGAAAAAAGCAAGGTGCAGAATAGTGTTAAATAACAAAAAGGTGGGTGGTGGGTCATACAGAGTGGACTTGTATCATAAATATATTAATTTTTGTGAATTTAAGTATATACACTGGGGGGAAGTAAAATTATTTTTAGTAGCCCAATATTCCACCTAAATAGCACTCTGCCTGGAATGAGCACAGGATGAGAGGCTTAGACCAATTGCTGCTCAGTGGGTGCCACTCTGACTTTTAGTGGATCTTCTGAAACTGCAGATTTCAGGAACTCTGACAATAGCTGCTTTAGAGAAGAGATGGCACAGAGATACTGAGGGGAAGTTCAAGAAATACCTGGAGATGTAAAAACAAAATTACATTTCAAAGGTGCATTTGCTTGAAGCTATCTGGGGTTCTGCCTAGGGACAGAGCTGAGGCCATCCATACCTGGGGGCAGAGGAGAAACCCTTTCCATCTCCTCTACCTCAAAGACCCGAGATAAAATGAGAAGTAACTAAAAAAAAGAAAAGCATACCAGTCCTAGAGAAGTAAAGAGGAGGACAGGCCCCTCCTAGGACCATCCAGCACAGTCAGCCACAGCTAAAGGGGACCCAAGTCATAAAGTGGTGATCACATATACACAGCTAAATGGCTGTATCTACATTTGCTGTAACAAAAAAACGCAATGGGAAGAAAATAGATCTTCTGTAAAAGTTGGCCAGGGACTAGCATATTCCACATGTGGCGGTTAATTTGCTTTCTTTACAAAAGACCTGAGGCTTCACTTCAACTACTAGAGGAATGGCTCCAGACCATTGTACCACCATCTGTGTACCCAAGTGGGTCAGATGGCGGTGGTGGTTAAAGGAACTGGGATGATACAACATGACAAAATGAGGCAAACAGTCACTTAGAAATCGCTTTAGATAATCTAGTCAGCCTGTGGGAGCCAACACTCACATTAGGAACTCCAGAACACCAGTATTCAGGAGGGTCAGAAAGTCTATTCTTTCATGTTTGTCAACGAGCTACTCAGTAAACTAAAAATCTCAACTTAGTCTAATTTATAACTGCAAGATTAATGAAAGGCTTTCTCTTGATGCTGACTTCATGGTTTTCAGCTTTGGATATGTGTATCAGTAAGAACCCACTAAATCTCTAGGACCTTTCATCAAACATAAATGAAACCACTACATATCAGTTTTGAAAAAGTCACTAGACATTTTAGATTTATAAAAGCTAGATAATGAGGTAGATTACTAAGACTGATTAATGATCTAATGTTTTTACATACTATGCACAAAATCACAAAATATTATTGTTAAATAGGTTAAAAAATGGTAACTTAAGAGACCAACGGGCTACTCAGAAGAATTTCCCAAAATAGAAGAGGCTACATGTTCTTCAAAATGTTCACACATTAGTGGATCTTCTCCCCATCTCTCAGCTTTTCTTGGAATTCTGACTCTTGTGTATCAACTTGCGTAGGTGAAATGACCCATATTTTCTAGTTCAAATTTGGTTATGTTCTCAAACAATAGCTCAACAATTTATTAGAAGGATTTAAAATTCTACATAAACACAAAGTTTAAAGAATGGTTAGGGTACAGAACACATAGACAAGCACGCATGAAACGAAGCTCACCAGCCAGCCGACATGCCCAATTGTTATTTCTTTACACGAAACAGACTTTCCTTATGGTGGCTCCTAAATTCTTTCCTGCCCCACATCTTCTCTCTTACACTAAAGTGAAAAATTATGCTCATACAAATGCCCTGGCTCATTAAGTATGCAGTTTAGTATTAGAGTTAAGCCACTAACTTAACAAATATGTCTTAGATCCTACATGAATTTATGATCTGGAAGAGATCTCAAGAGATCATTCCTTCATTTAGCCTGTTTGCGAGCTATCTGGAGCCCCCTGCCCGCACCAAAAAAAGGATAATAATGGCAGATCTCTTACTGAGTACTGGTATTTGGGGGTGAGGAACTTTGAAAAACTATACTGCCCCTTTTCTTAAGTCAGAATCAACCCCAGCACTCCCTCTCATGCCCCACAGGGGCCCTTCTGCCTCTGAGAGTGAGGCTGACCTGATTCCCCTCACACCTGCAGCCGGCCTCTGGCCTCCCAGTCTCCTCACTGGGTCCTGGTGCCCGCCCGCTCATCAAACGCTCATTGCTACCCTCAGGGTAACCTCTTGACCCCCTCTCAGGCCCAATTCACTCTCATCCCTCTTACTATTCCATCCAGGAAATAGCCTTCCAAGCTTGGCCCAGTTTCCACCAGAAAATATCCTTCTTGGAGTTAGTGAAATGTTTTTCCTGTGTCTACAGCTAATATATGGAAGTCAGGCAAAACATGACTGACCCAGTGGTCCCCAACTTTTACACCAAGCTGAATAATTTATCACAATACCTGAACTAGGTCACCTTAAAATAAAACACACAAACTCCCACATAATGAGCTAAAGACATTCCAAAGACTAAAGAAAATTTCAGTGTTATTGAAGGGAACTGGGGGAGGGCAGAGGCATAGAAATGGTAACAGCAAAAAAAAATTTAGGAAAAAAACAATGTCTCAATTCCGAGTTTTCTTTAAAACCATGACATATGTGCATGGGCTCCAGATAGCTTAGTAATAGGAGGAATGAATGGATGATCTCGAGATCTCTTCCAGATCATAAATTCAAGTATGATCTAAGACATGTTTGTTAAGTTAGTGGCTAATGTAATACTAAGCTGCATACTTAATGACCAGGACATTTGTATGAGCATAATTTTTCATTTTAGTGTAAGAGATATGATGTGGGAGCAAGAAAAAATATTTAACAATAACATGATAAGAATTCAGCAAAAATAATTAAGCATCTAAAAAAATGTCTAGTTAAAAAAACTGTAAGGGAAATACTTTATGACCTTTGCTTTTTAATGTCCTGAGGTAAATTCAATAGGAAGGGAAAGAGCTGTGAAAAATTCTTGATAATTATAATCTACTTAAAAACCTTATAAATAATTACTTATTCTAAGTCCTGAACAAACTCTGCATTAGGCTGGAACAACTATGGAAGGGAACCAAAGGTATAGAATACACAGTCACTTGGTGCCCCAATTGCTGTCATTGTAGGTACACATGCCCATACCAATTTTTAAGCATCTTATTCCTTTATTGCTGTACCTTTCAGAAACAGGAAGTTAAACAAGAGAAGAAAATGACAGACTGTAGTTATGCCATACCAATTGCAACAGAAATTCTGCTTACAAATAAAATTAAAATTGGAACTTATCTCTCAGACTGCCTCATGAAAACTAACATACCACTACTTCTTTATTGTTGCTTTGTCAAGGCCAAACGATTTAAGAAAAATAATCAACTGATTCACCTAACTTAGTTCCACTTACATTTTCTGGCTCAACACCAATGTCTTCACAAAATTTCTCCATGCCTTCAGGACCCACAACATCATCAGTACCTGCAATGAAATGCAATCCTACATAACTTAAATCTAACCATGTGCACTATTACTACTGTAGGGGTAATATAGCATCAAAACAGTTATTGTTAAAGTAAACTAAAATTGAGCAACACTTAAGGGCCATACCTCTTTTCTGAAGAAAGAAATCAAGTATAAATAGAAAAATATTCTGGAATTTCAGTCGTATCTTTAAGGGATTCTCCTCTGCACAATCATTTAAGTCAATTTATCACCATATCCTTCAACTATGGATATATGGTACATACAATTTATGTCTAAAAATAAGGTCACCGAGTTCAATTATTGCTCTTTAAAGTAGCAATAAGGCTCTGTTCTTTTTTTGGTAATGATTTAATACATAATTTTTGGGAACATAGCAAAGAATCATATATCCTTTATAAAATTAATTGGGAAATCACACAGTTTCACCTACACAGAAAAAAAATAAAATAGTCTTTTTGTTTTGGGGAAAGCAGTAAAGCCTTTCTTACCACTCTAGGTTTAGCTCTGTTTCTTCCTGAAAGTGCTGTCCACATGTTCCATCTCTACTTTACTTCCCATTCATTCTTTAACCACTGTAATTTGGTTTCTGCTCCTACCTCTCCATGGAAACTCTCCTTGCTCAGGACACCAATACCCTAACTGCCAAATCTAATAGACACCGTGGATCTGTGTTTTATTTGACCCCTGTGATATGAGAAAACTTGAAGCAATTCTTTCATCACAAAACTTGTCTCCTCCCATGACTTCTGGAAGTACTCTCTTACCTGGTTTCCCTCCTACCTCTCTTTCCTCTTTTGGCTTCTAGATGTGTTCCTTTGCTTCTCCCAACTTGTTAAATTTGGTGTGCAGAATTCCATCCTTAGACACTCTCCCTAGAAATTTCAACCTTGCTCCAGGTTTCAGGTATTACCCCAATCTCCTTCTAACTGACCATTTCCCCTCACTTTTGGCCTATCTACCACATCATCTGGCTACCTCACCTCCTGTTTAACTTCCACAAGTAAACTCATTTTTATGGCCCAAACTTACCCCTCCTGCATTTCACATTTTCAACCACCATCTCACTGAACTGATCATCTCTCTGTGCCAACCCTGCTTTTCTTCCTATATTCTGCTCCACCAGAAATACAAACCTGGAAGTCATCCTGGATCCCTCCCTTCTCCTATGCACTCCCCATCCCCCAATCAATTATCAAGTGGACTGCCAGTTAATCCTTCCAAATATTTCTTAATTGCACCTGTGCTGACCTGCTTGGGCTTTATTCTCTCACTTGGATGACCAGAGCAGTCTCCTCAGCATCTCCCTAATCCAAGGGCCTTGTATCCTCTGACCAATCCTGCACATAGCCACCTCAAACACAAACCCCATGCTGCCTTAAAATCCTTCAATGGCTCCCTGCTTCCTAAAAGCCAAAGTCTTTGGCATATCAAACAAGGTTCCCTATGATCTAGTACCTCCTTTATCTTTAATCTCGTATTTTTCTACCTTTAAATCAAGTTTCTTAAAAATTAAGAATCAATAAATATTGCTGAATGAATAAAAACTGAGACCTGAAACCCTTACCTGTGGTTTGCTCTGCACACATCCTGACACACACCCAACACCATGCACTGTTTGTGGCCTCAGTCCATCTTTCTCTCCCCTCAACCCTCTTTCATGGCTAACTTGTTCAGTCTTTAACACTGAAACCAGGCAGGCAGTCCTCCCAACCTCCTACCCCACATTCAGAGGCAGGTTGGGCAGGCTGTGACCCCAACACAATGCTAGATGGTTCTCTCAGCACATCTGCCCAGAGTCCTGGCTCATTTACCCTTCCCTCTGAGTTCCTCCAGAGTAAGAACTATCTCTTTTTTTTCCCCTTTTTATCGCCTCACCCTACCACCTGGCATGAAGCAGTTATTCCATAAACTTTATTGGATGAATGAATGAATAAAAACACCAGAATATAAGAATCACTCTACAATCTTTCCAGTGCCTCTAGATTTAGTAAGTTACGAAGTCCAGCAGAATCCACCATCTTAATTTGTCTGTTTCATTCAGTTAACATTTACTGAACACATCCTAGAGCTATGCACTGTGGTAGATTCTGAAGATTAATAAAACATAGTGCCTGCCCTCCAGGAAAGGAGATATAGCATATGAGTAATTTCAATACAAAGTAATAATAAGCCACAATCAATGTATAAGGTGGTTGCTCTCAACAAAGGATGAACACCAACGTTACCTGGACTACTTGTTGGAAAGTCTTAGTCACTTTTCTGCTTCAAATTCTTGGTTCCCTCTTAAGTCCCAACTCAGGCCCTTCCTCATAACCTGGCCTGAGCAAAACCTTTTTCTGCATGCTGCTATTTTCTTTTCATCACAAATGTGCTATGTTGTTACAAAATGTTTTGTTTCACAAATTCAGATTGTTACCTTTCTCTGGGATTTTCTTTTTTCTTTTATTTTACATGTTTTTCTATGTATTCCTAAATTTCTTGTTAGGAGAGAAGTTATGCTTTCAAATGAAAGTTAAAATATTAAGTTTTTAATTTAATATTAAATATTCATACAATAATATAAAGTTATTATTCAAATAAACATTAAAATTTTTTAAGCTTAAGAATAGTTGAGGTACATTATTTTAGTTTCAGGTATACAACCCAGTGATTAGACAATTACACACATTACAAAAAAAAGTTTGATTTTTAATTTAACTATTTTTTACTATATCAACATAGAAACATGATATAAAATTTCACTTAAAAGTGAAAAATAAAAATATTTAGAAAGCAACTTTCCTTTCTAACCCCTCCCTATTCCCCAGCTACAACCATTTATTAAACAGTTCCTTAAATACCCTTTCCAAAATAAGTCATTTATAGAATCTACATGCATGGAATATATTCATATTTATTTGTTATTTTTAAGTTTGTCCAGATAATTCTCTTTGGCTTTCCAGGTACATAATAATTTAACCATTTCATCTCCAACAAATGACCATTTCTACCTTCTCCTTTCAAATATTTATGTCCCACCCATATCTTTCTTTTGTCTAACAGCACTGGTTAGTAACTTCCAAAACAATGGCAAGTAATAGTCAGAGAAGGCATCCTTATCTCATTCATAACTCATATGGAAATACATTTGGCATTTTATCATTTGGTATGTTGCTAGCTTTGGGTTTGAGAGTACAAAGACCCACATGCGTTCACTCTTGCATGTATTACAAAAATGAAATCATTCACATGGTAAAAAACTCAAATAGACAAAGTCAGAGTAAATTAGTGTATAAAGAGTTAGCCTCCTTTCTCCCTTTCCTTACCAGTTAGGTATATATTCTCTCTGACCTTTTTGGTATGGTATTTATGTATAAGCAAATAAATATACATGAAATGCAGTTTTAAATTTATCTACACACATGGATTCACGCTATACCTATAAATTCTACACTTTTTCACTAAATATGTCTGATAATCTTCCTGTGAGAGCACCTATATGTCTGCTCTGTACTTGCTAGCTGATACATTTTACATTACTCATTACTCCACTGTATGTGGTATCCTTCAGTTCTTTTCACCATTTCACTACTGTAAAGCACTTAGGCTGTGAGATTAAAGAATAATTATTTTCGTAAGGAAATATCCGTCTTTTTTCTTTTGCTAAAAGTTTTTGTTTTTAGGAACAGATGCCTTTTTGGTATCTACTGATATGACTCATTGGGAGGTGATTGCACAGAGGTAGGAAAAATATTACTTTATAATTCTTTTCAAATTCCTCTGTCTTTGGTTTCCATTCTTCTTGATTTAAAGAAGTTTTTTCACTGCACTTTATTCTTGAGCCTAGCAAGCTGCCTGTCTCCCCATGTCTGTGCACAGGGCCTGGGTGTCTACTCTCCCACTCTCGCACCCTCCAACCTGGCTACTGTCTCCTCTCTTTGTCAATGTTCATTACAGAGATGATGTTTTTCAATTTATTTGTCTGTTTGTCATACTATTAAATGAGCTCTGAGCACAGTGCTTCTGTGGACTGTGACCCAGAGCTTGGCACAGAGCAACTCCTCAAAGAAGGTTTATTAGCTGAAGTGTACTATCCAGTGGTACTGTTAGGTTAACCAGGCTGCTTTTCTTCTCTCCACATATTATGCAATACCACTGTCATACTGCTTGTATACACACGCATCTGTATGCTTTAAAAGAGCCAAGTTTTTAACAGTATGATTTGCAATGGTATGCCTCTGCCTAAAGTAGTATTATATCCTTGCCAATCAACATTATTTAAAAGCTACCCTTAATCTTGCTATCTAAAACAACTTATTCCTTTCTTATCATTACCCTTCCCAAGCACACATTCAGATCTAGTCATAATCGTTGCTCCTTGGGATTATGATTGTATTTACACTAAGTTTATCAGTCCACCTGTAGAACTGAGTGATCTTAATTCTAACAAAATGCCATTGGCCAACCCAAAGTGGGTCAGAAGCAGATTTTGGGGGAGATGGTTTAAAAATATTTTATTAATAAGCTATGGAATGTGCTGGTGCCAAGATACTGGGGGTACATTTGGAAGGCAGATACATGGACAATAATCTAGAAAAAAAATGGTCCTCTTACTCCCTTTGCCATTTTAAGCAGGGGCCCCTAACTAAATACTTTTAACCTTTTCATAATGACCCGAGACCCTGCTGCATCGCTGAGGTGAATGGTGCCACACTGCCCCTTTGCTAGTTTTTAACAACTCTTCCATTGCTGACAGTCCACCTGCTCACTGAGAAACTGCTCCTGGTCCCTACTCTCATTTTGGTAAGCCAAAAAACAATTCTGCTATGGAACTAGTCCAAAATAGAGATGAAGGGCCTACAGTTAAGGGCTTACAGAACTTTTATGACCTAGGTATGTGAGCTGTGTAGTGTAATTCTGAAATCAATGTTGGCACCTGTGTATTTGGATTAATTTTTCTTGAATAATACTGACCTACAGTTTTTATTCATGGGGTTGGGATATTAAAAGTGAAAGCAGATGCCAGTTGAGTTTTTAAATTATTTTATAATTAATTTTTTATATATTTTATAATTAATAGTTTGTAATAAATATTTTTGAATTATTAATCATTTTTAATAAATATCTTAAAATTAATAGTTTTAATTATTCCCAGTTTCAAGCCGTTTTCCCTACTGATAAGATTCAGGAAAAAGAAGCAAAAAAAGAAAAGAAGGGTTGTAAAAATAGGGATAGCCACAATCATAGAAACTTATTACAGGGATGAACTGCAAGGAACCACCTTGGCAGGGATTTCAAGGACCCTAAAGGATGTGGCTTAATCTTTATCCTACTTTTCACCTTTCTGAGCCAGAGAAAAACAAACAAGGAGGAAAATTATAAACTGCTCTCTTTTTAAAGAAAACAGAAGTATGGCTTATACTTATGGAAAAATTTATGTTTGCTTATAAAGACAAACACATACATCAAAATATCTGTGCTACTATGGAGGGATTATCTCTGTTTAAAATTACTTCTTATAAAACATTTTTTCATAATAATAAATGTGAACCAATAATAAATGTGAATAAATAAGAAAGCAAAAGATCTTCAAAATCAAAGTGATACAAACATGAGAAAACTCTTCATTCATTCAGTACCCATAGACTGAACAGCTGGTAAATGCCAACCACTTTTCCTAGTGAGACAAAATACCTTCAAAAGATTCATGCTCTCATGACAAACATGAAAACAGATAAACTATAGTACTATGTGTTTACACGAATGTTGTACCCTGCTAACCAAGTCCAGCTCAAACCAGTTCAAGTAATGAAGAACTCACGAGAAAGATACTGGGGTAGCTCACAAAAACCCAAAGAACTACAGGAATCAGGATCACATCCTTTCAAGCCATCCACCAGAAGATAAAGATGCTCTTCTCCCAGCTTCAGTCTGAAAATCCCAGGAAATTTACCTGACTGGCCCAGCCTGGGTTACCTGTCACCCAACTGGAACAATCTCTGTGGGCAAAGGGACAAAAGCAAGATCAAGCCACAGGAGGAATCCTCATGTTGATACCCAATAAAAGGCTATCAAAACCAGTTACGAAAAATGTCCCATGGAAATACAAAGAGAAGATGTACAGCATCAGCTGTAAGAAGGAAAGGAGGAGAGAAACACTCTAGGCAAAGGGATGGCAGAATCAGTTGTCTTGTACCCTACAGATAACAGGATTTTTAAACAGGGGGTGAGGGTGGAATGTCACAATCATAGAAACTTATTACAGGGATGAACTGCAAGGAACCACCTTGGCAGGGATTTCAAGGACCCTAAAGGATGTGGCTTAATCTTTATCCTACTTTTCACCTTTCTGAGCCAGAGAAAAACAAACAAGGAGGAAAATTATATACTGCTCTCTTTTTAAAGAAAACAGAAGTATGGCTTATACTTATGGAAAAATTTATGTTTGCTTATAAAGACAAACACATACATCAAAATATCTGTGCTACTATGGAGGGATTATCTCTGTTTAAAATTACTTCTTATAAAACATTTTTTCATAATAATAAATGTGAACCAATAATAAATGTGAATAAATAAGAAAGCAAAAGATCTTCAAAATCAAAGTGATACAAACATGAGAAAACTCTTCATTCATTCAGTACCCATAGACTGAACAGCTGGTAAATGCCAACCACTTTTCCTAGTGAGACAAAATACCTTCAAAAGATTCATGCTCTCATGACAAACATGAAAACAGATAAACTATAGTACTATGTGTTTACACGAATGTTGTACCCTGCTAACCAAGTCCAGCTCAAACCAGTTCAAGTAATGAAGAACTCACGAGAAAGATACTGGGGTAGCTCACAAAAACCCAAAGAACTACAGGAATCAGGATCACATCCTTTCAAGCCATCCACCAGAAGATAAAGATGCTCTTCTCCCAGCTTCAGTCTGAAAATCCCAGGAAATTTACCTGACTGGCCCAGCCTGGGTTACCTGTCACCCAACTGGAACAATCTCTGTGGGCAAAGGGACAAAAGCAAGATCAAGCCACAGGAGGAATCCTCATGTTGATACCCAATAAAAGGCTATCAAAACCAGTTACGAAAAATGTCCCATGGAAATACAAAGAGAAGATGTACAGCATCAGCTGTAAGAAGGAAAGGAGGAGAGAAACACTCTAGGCAAAGGGATGGCAGAATCAGTTGTCTTGTACCCTACAGATAACAGGATTTTTAAACAGGGGGTGAGGGTGGAATGACTGTTAAGGAATGACATATATGATCTCTTAAGCTTTTGTTCTTGTTTTCTTGTTTTTTAAATAAGTCAACAGGAGGCACATAGGACCTGGTTGGGAACAGAGACTGATGACAAAAACGTTGGCTTGAGAGTTAATGAAATCATCAAGTTGATCAGTTATGAGAGAGCTGAAAATAAGGTGAAGAGGAAAGATAAAAGAGCCTTCAGCTCAAACTGGTCTGAAAATGTTTCCTTTTGATGCCATACACAGCTCCAATAACAAACCAACCCTAGATTTACGTATTACATTATCTTACCAATTATAGTAAGTTGCAAAAATCAGACTGAATTTAAGACACTTTAAGTGACAGAAGAAACATTGTCTGCCAAATGATCTTTCAAAACAGAGACACTTAGGATACTCCACTGTACTTCATAAAGGTTCACAGTACCAAGACTTATTTTAACTTTGATGTGTAAACCAAATAATCACCCATTGCCAGCATTCTAAATAGGTTTCCCAGCAATCCAAAGTATTTCCCCAAAGAGCATTTCATCTTTTCAGTTCTCTTCTAGTGTTCTGAATTCTTTGGCTTAGCTGCTGGCTATAAATAGATCATTTGGTGATTTGTTTAAACTACATTCCCTCCCTCAAACAGGGAGAAAAACACAAAGACAGACAGACACACACACACACACATTCCCTCCCTCAAACAGGGAGAAAAACACAAAGACAGACACACACACACACACATTCCCTCCCTCAAACAGGGAGAAAAACACAAAGACAGACAGACAGACACACACACACCGCCCCCCACCCCAAATTTGAAAAGCGCACATTTTTTAAATTCTTTCATCTCCTCTAAGTTAAGCCTTATTCCATACGGATCAGTCTCAGATGACATAAATGATTACCTACCTGCATATTCATAGAACCACTCTAAGCATCTCTTACTTGAAAAGGATTCTTCTTCAGTCTTTATTCTAGTTGAATCATATTTTCTATACATGCTAGAAATTGAGAAAGGCATTTTAAGTTAAAGATATAGAGTTTCTTTTAAATAGCAGATAGTTTTTATTCTTTTACCCAAACCGGACATCTATTCAACAATATTTCAAGTATATTTTAAACATTTTACTTCCTATATTTGGAAGCTTCCACTTTTACAAGTTTTATCCAATTACACCCAATATAGAATTAAGTGGTAAACAAATAATACAGGTTTTTCTCTGATTAACAAATAATCAGTAAGTACTGAATGGAACAGGTAGTTGGTATATTCCCTTCTATCTTACCAGGCAGAACTAAATACAGAATGATGGTAAAATATAGCAAAAAATGCCTAAGACATTCTCTTCAATCAATGACCCTAGAATCCACTTATGTCTCCGCATTGAATTCCCCTGACTTCTGTGTCTTGGGAGTCAGGGTGGGCACAGAGCACAGTCTAAGGAGGTCCTCTAAGGAGGACCTGTCATTAGTAGGCAACTCAAGGGAACATTAAGCAAATAAAAACATTAAATTATGTCCAAGGCTCCAGGAAAACACCCTAAAATAGTACTAGAGAGCAACCCTGGCTTCTGTATTCTCTCCTAACTGCCTCGTGCTGTGCAAACATCCAGCGTGAGCTGGAAAGCTGAACCAGGGAGCACAGGGGCCTCATCCCGCAGCACTGTGGCCTTTGGCAGGACTTCCTTACTTCATGACGACCTGGGGCCGAGAGCCAAGCTAGTCCCTACTTGGGGAGGAGACAGAAGGCAGCATCTTTAGTGATTCTGATACAAAAATTATGAGTATATACTTTTAAAAAAAATCTCTTACTTATATAGAAATCGTCTAGTTATATATAGAAACATTTAGGAATAAATGAATTCATAAATAAACATTTATGAATAAAACACTACAAATTTTAATTTACATGGTATATGATATAAAACACATATACAATTATTTTTTATTATTTATTCATGATCTAGACAATTACCAGAATATCTATATATACCTCTGAATAGAGATTCTGGGTTTTAATACCAAAAAAGAAACAAAACACATGGTTATTAGGTATTAAGATATTAAAACTGCAAACCACCAGTTTTGTATTTCTTCTACAAAAGGTAGCCACACTACCTGGAAACAAAGGTAGATACTGGCCAAGGGTTCAAACAGATTTGCTCCAGTCCTGGGTCTGATCTGAACACTCCTATCTCAGCTCCAAGTCTGCAACTGATCAATAACCTGGAGACTTGTATATGATGCTATAATGTTTGCATTGCTTAAAAATACTTTACATTGAAAAGGACAACGAATACCACTCAGCAAATCTTCAAAAGAAACAAAATACTCATACACACTATTACACAGATGAACCTCAAAAACATATGCTAAGTGAAAGAAGAGAGATGCAAAAAGGTCATTTTGATGTTTCCACAAAACGTCCAAAAAGACAAATCTGTAGAGACAGGAAGTGGATTTGTGGTTGTGGGGACTGGACGTGGGAACAGGGAGTGACTGTGAATGGGCAACAGGACTCCAACTGGGGTGATGGAGAGGTTCTAAAAGTGATTTATAGTGGCAGCTGCACAATACTAACGACTTAGTAAAACCACTGAATTGTGCACTTAAAAATGGATGAATGTTATGGTTTGTAAGTAAAGTTATTTTCTAAAATAAACCAGGAATGAAGCTCTGATAATGCTATGGATCCCTATTCCCCAGATGTCCACTGAAGTGCTATCAATAAGAGTACCTTCCACAACTCAACTGCGAGTTTTTAAGCTGGCTTTCTCATACTAAATTCTATTCGACTGTGCTGAAAAACACAGCCTGTGATATATGCAGTCACAGAACACTACGTGATTATCAGAAGTTCACATCCCCTGACACCAACCATCACTACCACGAAAGGAGGATCAAGTAACCTGGCTTCATAGAGCTGAAAATCACTGGTCTGAACACTGCTTGGCAATCAGCTTCTAAAGTCACTGCTATCTCCTTTCAGGTAATATTTTCTACTCATTGGGATATGAACAGAGACAGTATTTTCACATTTTCAGAGTTCATCTCTCTATCCCTCCAACTGAGCTGTAGTATATTAACTAACACAGCAAGAAACAAAAAAATCTCATCTAATGCCTTGGATTCATAGACATGAACATTCAGGCCCATTAGTGAAGTGACCTACGGAGCTGGAACAGAGGAAGACTGAGAAAGCAAGGAGGAGTAAAGAAGAAAAAAGGGACTCGTGAAAATCAGGGTAAAACAGCAAAGATGCTTAAAATAAGTCTAACAAACCTTCTAAGTTACCAAAATTAAGTCACCAAAATTGTCTGAAAGAAAAGAGGTTTGAACAGTCTTATTTTTCATAGTTTCTAACAAATTCTCATTCTTCTGAGACTCAAACTCAACTTGGCCAATGTTGCAGGCAGGCTTAGAGCATTCAGTACAGGCAATGCTCTCCAGCCATGCAGCCCAGGTCCCTTGCAAAGGCAATTATGGGATTCCTGTGGTAGTAATTAGTGAGTGAGACCCTCTTAAAGAAGAAATACATACCAATCCTGGGGTCCTCAACAGGCACAGACAGCAAGCCCTTAAAAGGAAAGAAAGAAACTCTACACCAGTTTTGGTGGGTCAATGAACTAAGATAAAACTTTAATTTCTAAGAATTTAAATCACCCAATTTGTATTTGCTTTATAAACCCAAAATAATATAAGTACCATGAAGTAATTACAGTTTGAAAGTTTGCCTGGCAGAACCAAAACCATATTCCAGTTGGCATCTGTGTGCCCTTAGAAGACCCACACTGGATTAGGTAGAAATGTGCCTCTCCGACACAGATGTCATCAACTTTGATCTGCTGTCTCTGTGACGTACCTATCATGTCTGCTTTTCTTGGCAGATAAGTCATCTCCAGATGCAGGTCTTCTCTTTTTCCTTGGTGGCATCACTTTACTAAAGCAGTCTGAAGAACTGCAAGATCGCAGACTCCCTACGAAACAGAGGCAAGAGCGCCACATTAAATAGGCCCCATCACAACACTTTCAGACAATGTCACCACCAGATGAAAAACTAACATGGCTTGTGTTGTAAAAGGTTTAGATGTTATCTATAAATGCTATAAGGACAAAAAATAGTTTTCAGTTCCTCTTTGAGAAAGAGTCAAGAAAGAAACCTTGCAATGCCACAAAAATACTTTCCTCCCCAAACCATACCAGAAATGGAAGTTATCACAACTCCAATTACTCTCCAAAAATACTAATATAAATCATCCAAGCTTTCTGCTTTTTTTAATGTGTCAGTGCTCTTTGAAAAGGAATTATGCTGCTATGCAGTTCAACTAGCAACCTTGAATCTAAAACACATGTAAGTATATCAGTCCCAACTCTTAAGCTTCAATGAATATCTGATTTTTTTTTAAATTTGGATTTTTGGGGGCAAAAAGCCTAACATAACCTTGAATAAAATTTCCATATTAATTTTCAGTGTTTTTCTGCTACTGCTACTTTTAGTAAGGTTTTTCAGAAGCATAATTTTCAAGGGGTAAAAGAAATTAAAATGTAGTAACAATAGACAATAACAACATGGAATGCTTACTGAGACCTTACTGTTAAGCCCTGCTCTTAATGTATTAAGTAACTTAACTTTATAACAAGCTTAAGAAAAAGAACCATCATTATTGCCTACGCGGATGTGAAAATGGAAGCCAAGACAGGTTAGGTTAAGTGGCAAAACTGGAATTCAAACCCAGACAGTCTTGCTTCAGACTGTCTCAAACCATTATTTTTTTAAATGACAAAAATTATAGGTAATTAAAATATTCCATCTTGGCACAAGTGCTATCAGATACATCATGTCATTTGGTTCTCACAATAACTCTGAATGACAGGCAGGACAGAGGTAATTATCTCTACCTGACAGATGGGAAAAATTAAGGTTCAGTCATTCAAGTAACTTTCCAAGGTCTCAGAAGTGTCAAGTGGTGGATTCTGGACCTCTTGGAAAGCAGCCCTGGGCTCTCAGTGAATAACAGGGACAAAAGAGAACATGGGGAGCTGGGATTTGAATGATCTACATTCGGTGAATGAGTTCCAGTTTTTCACCTATGTAGCTTAGTCAACCACTATTCTGGCTCATCTTCTGAAGAATGAGGGCTGTTGATATGTACCGCTCAGGGGTTTTATGAGGGGAAAACATTCATGCAGTAAGTGCATGGACACCGAGCACCGTATGTGAACAGATGTGGGGGACATAAAGCATCACAATGGAGATGTGCAGACAGTGCTCTGGCTGGGCCTCAGCGCTCACTGAATCCTCAGAACCCTGTGATGCACATCTGTCAGCATCCCCGTTTTTACAAATGAAAAAGTTGATGCAGAGAGATTAAGTAACAGCTGGAAAGCAGAAGGTGAAGTCAGTGATGGAACCCAAGCATCCCAGAAGCAAAACCTGAGCTCAGGCACTATTACTGCCACCTCTCCTGGGCCCTAAAAGCAGAGACTGAGGGCAGAGCCCTGGGGAGTGTGGATCTTAAAGGAGCTGGGAAAAGAAGGTAAAAACTTGGGCAGGAAGAAAACCTAGTAGAGCTTGATGTCCTAGAGGCCAAAGGAGGAGGGAGTATTTCAAGCAGGGAGTGGTCAACTGTGCAAGAGGTCAGCTCAGGAAAGGAATGAAGGTATACACTGGGCTAAGCACTGAAATTCAGCAGCAAGGGGCTGGTGAGGGGGAGGCTGGATTGCAACAGGCTGGGCAGGGTGAGAGGTGAGGGAGTGAGTACAGTGAATGTGGACAGCTCTTTCTAGAAACATGCTCTGAAGGCACAGAGACCTGTCAGTAACTAACAGTCACAACCCTGGTAAAAGCAAGGATCAATGAACCTATATCCTACTTCCCGGTTAGGCTTCCACCATTGTGCTGGGTTACCAGGGCTCCATGCTTCAGGAACATGCCAGCCCAAGAACCTATTCTGTTATAAACCAGGACTAAAATCCGAAGAAGCTTGTGTCCAGATAGTGGACTCGCAGGAGATCGATGATCCGACTCGCTCCTTCAGCACAAAAGCAGACTTAAACAAGGATAAAAAGACCTTTCTCAGGGGCCCAAACAGACACTGTCCTTCCAAGGATGGGAGTAGAAGGTTCTTCAGAGACACAAGAGATAAGGCCTACCCATCTCGCACTCCACACAACCACAGCAAGAGCTGGAAGAGCAAGTACCAGAGGGAGTGCTGCTCCCCCACCCCCATTCCTATTCTTCCTCCCATGACACGGTGGTTTATGAACAACACTGGAGCATACAAAAAGTCCAAGGAGCTGGAGAGGGACCCAGTTTTTGCAGACTGCCAAAATACAAGAAAAAGATTCATTCTTGTCCATGAAAGCCTTGGAGTGGAGCACGCGGAATGAGAAAGTATGCCTGCCTAGCTGGAAAGCCTGCCACACTGCTCAGAAGTAATAGTCTGTCCACTCAAGGCATGCTTCTCCCTCCTTTGATGCATATATGGAAAGAAAAGATTTCTAATTTGGTACTGATCATAGATTGCTTCTAAGTATCTGGCTTGGCAGTGACCTCTCCCTTCCACCAGTGTTTGCAGAACCCAGAAGAAAATGCTGATCTCCTTAGCCCTAGAGCTGTTTGGCAGGTACATATAAAAGAAAAATAAAAGCCTATTTATGGTACTAATAAAGGAGGAGGCAAAGGAGGAAAATAATCTCAACCAGTAATCCCACACTGTAATCCATGCTCCTTAACATTATCTTGCTTGATACTATGGTGTTCAATCTACACACTTCTACATTTGATGAACAGTTGAATTTGAAATCAACCCTCCCAATAATCCCATCATTACAAGCTCTTTCTTGATGCTGGGGTGTTTATATGATCCTTAGGAAGGCAATAAAAATTGTTTGATTTTTTACCCAAAAGTTATGATTTTTTTTTGTGGTCAGAATTTTTTTTAAAGGTATCATTGATATACACTCTTACAAAGGTTTTAGAAGAAAAACAATGTAGTTATTACACTCACCATTATTATTGGGTGTCCCCCCATGCCCCATTGCAGTCACTGTCCATCAGTGTACTAAGATGCCACAGAGTTCCTGTTTCTCTTCTCCGAGCTACACCGTCTTCCCCATGACCCCCGACACACCATGTGCACCAATCATGATACCCCACAATCCCCTTCTCCCTCCCTCCCTACCAACCCTCTCCCCCACCTCCTCTTTGGTAACCACTAGTCCCATCTTGGAGTCTTGTGAGTCTGCTGCTATTTTGTTCCTTCAGTTTTGCTTCATTGTTATACTCCACAAATGAGGGAAATCATTTGGTATTTGTCTTTCTCTGCCTGACTTATTTCACTGAGCATAATACC